AGCTAAAGATACATCTAAAGATACAGCTATAGATACAGCCAGAGCAAACACGTCTGCAGACTCAGACACAGCTACAGATACATTTATTGATACAGCTATAGCTAGAGATACATTTGCAGATATAGCTATAGAGGGAAACCTACAGACGCAAACATAGACACTTCAATAGATACATCTGCAGATACATCTATAGATACATCGAGAGATACAGATACAGCTAGATAGATACACGTCAATAGATACATCCTTCGGCACAGCTATAGATATAAAGAGAGATACAGGAACAGGTAGATACAGACCGATATATACAGACAGAAAGATGCAGACACATAGTTAGATACAGATACAGATACAGATATAGATACAAATAGAGACAGGAACAGGTGAAACTTAAAAACAGACGTAGGCAGCTATAGCTATAGTTATAGCTACAGATACAGCTACAGTTAGCGATTCAGATACATACACAGCTGTACACATGGATACATATATGTTCATATAGCTAAATACGGGCATTGGCAAATCTTCAAACTGTTTTTAGCATTAATTAATTAAATAAATTACACTGCCTCGCCTTCCAAGCAGCAACGCGTCGACCAACTTTCAGTTTCAATGTTTGCCCATTGAATTAGGCGACGAAGAGCAGCAGCAACAGCTAAATAGCCAGTAGCTGCTTGCCATGCCACTCACCTCAATGACAGGACAGGTGTGAAGGGGTAGCCGAATATGTGTACAGCTTACACAGACAGAGATGGCGACACACGAGAGCAGTAGCTGCAATATTTGCGGCTTTGTTTTAATAACACGCACAAAAGAAGTTAAATAACGCGCCTCTCTTTGCGAATCTCATGGCAAATAGTGCACTTGCTGAAGAAGCACATCAAGTTGTCTGACGTAACTCTCCTTCTCCTTCTCTCTCTCTCTCTCACTATACATGAGTGTCGCATTGCATTGCTGTGCAACTCACACCTCCCTTTGGCAAGCCAACTATAAGATGTAGTTACTTGACTTCGGGCTAGTATTTTGATCCACGTTAACTCAGCAAAGTGTTTTAATTAAGTGCCTTGCTGGCCCTAAACTCATTCAGATACAAGATTAACGCTGTGACTTGAAACATATATATCTTTAATATTAATCTAGCTGCAAGTTCATGTAAGAAATATTTAAACAGAGACAGCAATTTGCATTCCAGACTTCAGTCATAAGAGAACTCGAGTCGGTGCTAATTGAAGATAATTTTTTTTTTTCTCTTTTATGAATGGATTCGAACGAATATCTAAAATCTTGAGTATTTAGACGAATCTTTATAATAAAACAAAAAGGATCTGCATATCTCTGCAGCTGCTAAGGGTCAAAGCTCTGTCCCTTTGATGAGCTACAGCTGAGATCCTTGAGCGCGCACTCAATGCTCGAACTTTTTTCTCTTATCTTTAGTAATTGTAATGTAATGTAATGTAATAATAACATCTATGCAGTAGGCAAATGTTAAGCATTTATCGCCTGACAACAGTGTCACAAATAAGTATGCACACACTGGTGTTTTGTGTGAAAAGTGTTAGCGATCCATTGATTTGTTTGTTTTTCTTGGCACTTGTTAAATGCCATGTGCTTGGAGTGTGGGCCTCTTGATGGCAACAATATGTATCTGTCTGTCTGTCCATTTGTCCGTTTGTCCGCCCGTCTGGTCTGCCTCGCAATGCAATTTTACAATCGTCTCAGCTCAGCTCCGCTCAGCTCATTGCCGGGCCACACATAATGTGCGGGCTGTTCCGCAATTGTTTTATGAAGACGCTTAGCGTCGCCTTTGCTTTGACCTCAGCGTTTGGCAACATTTGCCAGAGACAAACAAGACCGGCAACTGGGTAAATTTGGCCAAGTGCCTCTCGTCATAGCCAACACTGAAAGCCGGCTACCAGTTGGCTTGGCCGCCTCTGGTAAGGCCCCGCAATCAATGCTCACTCTTTGATCATAGATAAACGCAAAGATTTATGTGCCCTATGTCGATCACTAAATACACTTGTTTTGGCAGCCAACTACTATATCATGCCAACCTTTATACTAAATCAATCCAACCGTACCACAAGGAACAACAACAAAACTCTCCCAACTCTGCCAAGCCCAACCCAATCAAGTCAGCTGTTGACACTTGCCTCGGAGACCCAACAAGTTTCCGTCTTTATTTACGATATTCGCTCCACGAAATCGGATAGAACATACAATATCGAAATTAACACATTTATCAAAGCCAGAGAGTAACAAAATTTATAAATTTCCAGATATTATTGTGTAAGCCATGTGGTTTCAGCAGTTGGATAATTATATAGACAGAGTTAGTCAGCGTGATTCCCATTTCAAAACTGTTGTGCAGCTGAGTTGTTAGTGGCTTGACAATGGTCAAAGATATGGCCGACCCCATATCGTGTATAGTTTACTGATCAGAAACAAGAGCTGAGTCGACTGAGACATGTTTCTCTCTACATGTCTATCGATATCGATATCTATTTATCTGTCGGCCCATCTATCGCTCAATGTCTGTCTGTCCTTGTCGATTTTTATCGATATCTCTTACCACTTTTTTCATAATATCATATTAGGATGCTTATCTATGCATAGAAAAACTGGAATAGAGCTGAGCACAAAGTCTAGAGCATCTTTGACAAGGAAATACCCATATTATGAGCTCTGCTTGAAGCTGGTAGTTTGGCTGATTGAATACAATAAAACTATTTAGTATATATTTAAATATATGATTTTTTGATTTTGTCGGTATGCCTACAATAGTATATTATAGAGCTTTTGTTTAGATACAATCGATTTTGGATAATAATATTGTTCTATTATATACTGTCTGAGAGCTGATCAAATTCAAAAGAACCTGTTTATTGTGTGGGTAGAAACAAAAGCATTTAAGTTTCTTTTATACGAAATCAAGTATATTAATATCTTGATCTGTACATAAAATATACAACATTTTTAGAAATATATAGTTTGCAAGCACAAAAGCATTCGGGTTGGCTTACAGACTCGTCGGCTAATATATGCATAGATATGCGTTACAGAGAACAAAGTTCACATAATTATATGCCTAGAGTCGAAACCCGTTCGGCTGAGTACATCAGATTTCAGGTTTCATAATTATGCGATGGCTGCGACAATTGCGATAGAACCTGGAGTCAAGCCCAGGCCATCTAATAGCCCCAGCTGAATGAAACTCTTTGTTTGGCATTTGTGGACATCCATAAATATATGAGCATTTGACAAGACAGATGCCGGCGATTTGCATTTTAGTGTAAGTTGCTTTTTGGATTTGCGGTCCGAAAACAAGTTGGGCCGCCAGCAAGTCGAATTTAATAAATATTCATACAGTCGACACTCGGAGTCACATAATGTCTCATATTAACTAAAGCTTATTAGCCCGATCGTAAGAAAGAAAGATGCGAACAAGCAAACAGACTAATGATAGTTTCTCATTCATAATCAGCATTCATAATGCCCACATTTAGCCAAGAGCTCCAAATCCTGCTCTTAGCTAATCTCTTTCTGCAAATCTTTCAAATTATGAATACCAAATGAAGCGTAGAACAGATTCAAGCAGATGCTTATCGATTCTAGACTCTTCATAAATATAACGAGCTGTAAAAACTGTGGTGTCGACTGCATGATGCTGGCTCAAAATTTCAATAAGGCTCATAATGCAGAGAAATTAATATACCCCTTTCACTACGTAAGCGAGCATAAAAAATGTAAAGTTCAGATAACTTCAGCTCATTAAATGATACAGCTCTTAGGTTACATCAACTGAATAAACATTTGCTCGCCTTTAGATACTCTAATGTCTAGAGCCTCTTGTCTACCTCGACAATGAGCAAGTAATAAATATTTATATAACAATAAAAACTAGATAATCTCTTGGTTTGCAAAAAAATAAACCTAAAACTATATTTTAATTGCCTATCAACCAGTTCTATTTAACCAAACAACAACATGATTATAATGCTAATGTGCTCACGAAATATTCGCATACAAATCTATATATATAGCACGCATGCCACTAACGAGGGAGCTTGCCTTATATATACCCTGTAAATACTTAAGTGTTGAGACTATTTATATCGAAGCTTGAATCTAACAACAATATATATGTATATTAACCAGATATTTATTTAGGTTTCTTTAAAGAGTTTACTTAAAACAAAATGCTTAGCTAAAAACATAAAAATATATATGAAAAGTAAAACAATAAGAAATAAATAATCAAAACTAATAAATATATTATAAAAAATCATAATTCCATTTTTTTTTACTTTTTTTTAATTTTTATAATTTTTAATTTGAACAAATATAAGAAAAAATCCTAAAAATAAATAATTAAAAAATACAAAAAATGTTTAGACCTTTCTCAATCAAAGAACATTGTCTAGCCTTTCTAACTAGACTAGAATAAAAAAAATAAAAAAATAAATAAAATATTAAATTATATTACAAAAGCAATAAGCAAAATAATAAAATAGATAGAATTTTTTTGGTTCTCTCAATAAAATTGTTTAAAAATTGAATACATAAAAATAAAAAAAAATACATTTAACTTTAAAATTTAAAATATTTAAAAATATTTTTTTAAATCTAATTAAAATACATTGCCATAAAAATAATTAAACTTTATTTTTCTTGTTTAATCTAGTTCGACAATATAAAATATTTATGTATAGCACCAAAATAAAAATAATAAATCAATACTTTTGTTTAGTCTGATTAAACAATACAAAATAAATCAATTTTAAGATAATAATAAATAATAAAAGGTACTAAATCAAAAATGGGTAAAAATATTTGACATAACAACAAATAAAATAAAAATATAGCCTAATTTCCATATAAACTAGTATCTTGTATACCCAACAGCGGCTCGTTGATCTTTGGATGATAGACAAACAATAGACCTGTCAGAGCAGACTGAGAGACGACGACTAGAATATAAATTGCGAATACATTAGGCGGGCATGCAAATATCGGAGCTACGAACTTCTGATATAGTCCGAGCGACTTCAACGGGTACAGTGAGTGAAGTCGGGCAAAGTAAACAAGTTAATTGAATGCCTTGCGTTTGCTGCTCTTTTTGACAAAGTTATTGATTGAATGCCATTCGAGATGCGATAATTGGGCTTCTAAAGGCAGTTAATGCTGCTTGAAGTCGACAGACTTCCAGTTGAATTGGTTGCCAACTAAACATATTAGTGGCGGGGCTATGAGGAAACTCGTTTCCAGCCAAGCGGTTTGTGGCGCCCGAAAAAGGCGACAGTATATAACGAAAATTATATATAAATAAAATAGTTTGCGCTAATTTGTGTTTTTTAGCGATATTTTATATGGGTAAAGATGCCGAGAGATGCCATCATAATTAGTGGAGGCCGTTCAGATCTCGGAGACGTTCTAATCAATATATTTTTTGTACGGATGTCGTTTCGTCTGCGCCTCAGAGCAACATATTGACAGTCGATTTGCTGCCGCATTAGCCATTAGCTGGGCGATGAGGCAACCCTCTAAGGAATTTGTTATTGGATTTTAGGCATTTATTTAAATATATATATATATATATATATATATATATATTTATTTAAGTGCGAGCGTCTATAAAAACAAGAGATAGATAGATAGAAAAGCGATATAAACCATCAATTAGCATAGAGCGTCCCAATATTGTATTTCATTCGGTGTTTTTTCGTATAAAAACTTGATACCCGGCGCCACCAACAACAGATCAGCTCAACTCACAGACCCTAAACATGGTAAGATCTAAGAACATAACTCATCTAGTGAAAGGCTTGAATCGATAACATTTTTATAATCAATTTTGATCTCTCGCCTCTTGCAGAAATTCTGCATTATCGCTTTGGCTTTGCTCGGTCTGGTGGCCGCCGATGTTAGTCACCTGCTTAACGTGGGACAAAACTCTGGCTACAGTTATGGCAGCTCCGCCTCCTCCTCCTCATCCTCGTCTGCCTCAGCAGTGCTGCCTGGTGGAGACTCGAGCAGCTACCAGCCTGAGCATTTGATTCCTCAGAATCTGCAGGTTGCTTCTGCTCAGATCGTTGCCGGAGGAGATTCGAGCAGCTACCAGGCAGCTCATGTGCTTCCCCAGAGCCAGGTTGCTTCTGCCCAGATCATTCCCGGTGGAGACTCGAGCAGCTACCAGCCAGAGCATTTGATTCCCCAGAATCTGAAGGTTGCTTCTGCGCAGATCGTTGCCGGAGGAGATTCGAGCAGCTATCAGACAGCTCATGTGCTTCCCCAGAGCCAGGTTGCTTCTGCCCAGATCATTCCCGGTGGAGACTCGAGCAGCTACCAGCCAGAACATTTGATTCCCCAGAATCTGAAGGTTGCTCAAGTGGGATTAGCCTCAGCCGCTGTGGAGACAGAGTCGTACAACATTGGAGCTGATACCTACACACCGGAACAGTTCATTCCTGAGGCCGATCGCATTGCACATGCTGCCTACGGCCAGCAGCAGCAGCAGCAGCAGCAGCAAGCGCAAGTTGTCATTGGTGCCAATACCGTCACGCCTGCCCAGCTGTACCAGGAGCCCACATCCAATGGCATTGAGGAGCTCAACACTGAGGCGCGCCTGCCCGTTGCATACACCGCAACGAGTGCCTCTTCCAGTGGCGCCGCCAGCTTTGGCACACAGTACGGCTCCAACGGCGGCTATGTTTACTAAGCTCCATCGCTACCTCTCACTCCTTCGCTCACTCCCTCTCTCTTGCACTCAATTTCTTTGTTCCTCCTGTCTACTGCTTTTTATGAATAGTAAAATTTCAAAATAAAATCGACTTTGTGACTTCTATATTCAATGGACTCAGAGTCGGGCAGGGTATTGAATCGATCCAACTTAAATGAAACTATAATTTGAAATGTCAAATCAATATTCTGGCAAAGCTCGTCACGGCCCATTCGCTCATAACGATGATTCGCTTCGAGTCTCTAGCACAGCCATTAATATTAATTATATATCAGATTAACTGGCAAATCGAAGCTGAGATACTCTTGCCATTTTTGATGTATCGAATTGCCATCAAGTAAATTAAATATGGATCCATTTATAAAACTGAGGCAATGCTAAAGCCAATTCGAATTCATTTACATTTTTCTATCTTATATAAGCAATCCACAGTTAAATCAAACTCCGTTACGAGCTGCATTTAGCTAGCGTATATCAACAATCAGTATAATCAATAACTCAACTATGTTAATTATTTCTTGATGTTCGCCTTTATGTAAATGCAATCTCAGCTACTAATGTTAACACTCTGTTATGCGCGTGTATAGGAAGTTGCCTTTTGTATGCCAATGTTGACATGATGGATAAGTCTATGGCCTATATGTATATGATGTACCTATATGTTATATATGTATCTATAATGTATGTGCATATGATGTATGTACGATTATATATATGTGTATACTGCATAAAATATACATTAATATGATGCATACATATATGATGTATGCATATATGATGTATATGAATATGATGTATGTATCTATAATGTATATGCATATAATGTGTATGTATATGAATATGATGTATGTATCTATGATGTATATGCATGTATATACTGTATAAAATATACATAAATATGATGCATACATATATGATTTACGCATATATGATGTATATGAATATGATGTATGCATATATGATGTATATGCACTTGATGTATATGAATATGATGTACGCATATATGATGTATATGCATTTGATGTATGTACGATTATATAAATGTATATGGTGTATAAGATATATATGTATATGATGTAAGTATATATGATGTATATGAATATGATGTAAATGTATATGATGTACGTGAATATATGATGTATGTGCATGTATATATGATGTATATTTATAAAATGTATTTGAATATGATGTAAATGTATATGATGTAAGTGTCTATGATACATGGATATCTGATGTACGTGAATATATGATGTATATACGTATGATATATGCGTATATAATGTATGTGTATGTATATATGATGTATATTTTCAAAAATGTATATGAATATGATGTAAATTTATATGATGTAAGTGTATATGATGTACGTATATATGCTGTAAATGATGCTTGTGTATATGATGTATGTATATACGATGACCTTAACACTCCCAGTGAGCCAAAGTTGACTTGCTCGTATTGCTTCATTCTGTTAAGTGAGTGCAATTTCAACATGTCATTCATTAGTCATAATAAGATATTATATTTTGTATATACAGGAAACAGAAGGCTTTCCAATCCTTGACTTACTTCAACCTGACTCTTAAGATACAACTGCAATTCATCAATGTTGGAATGTCCTGAAATAAGCTGAGACAACTAAAGGCTAAAGTGATTAAGGAATGTTGCTGAGTCTGTGTCTGCTTTGCGAACTATTACAGGTTCATGAACCTTTCCGGTCCATGCTTAAAGTAAAAGTTGATCCGAGACTCCCGCACTCGACCGGCTTCCATGCACCGTGCTTATTATGTAAAGCTGTGAGCCTCGCTCGTAACCTATGTCTGTCCGATGAGTTCTCAAGGCCGCTTGGCTTCTTTTTTTTAGAAAGTGCTACGTAATGGCTGCACGACTGGGCCAAGCCGCAGTGAATCATATCATTTTGCATTCTTGGCCCGTCGGTTTCAGCAACTCGTCGTGGGGATGCGGCATGCGGGTTGGTGTGTGATCGCACCAAGGTCTCTTGAGCTGGGGCTGGGCTGCTCTACCGCTGCAGATTGTTTGACCCTTTTCTTTTTCTCCTTATTTTACGGTTATTTTTCTCTCAAACTGAAATTCAATTAATTTCTTAAATTGTAACCATGCGGTCAAAGGGGCAACCAGGTTGGGCCAGTCCGCAAAAAGCCATCAAATCCATGACCTTCAAATCAAATTCGTTCGTGCGCGCCCTTTGGCCAGTCCTCACTCTCTCCTTCTCTCTCTTTCGCCTTACATTCGCTCTCTTCGCACTCACCTTTTCTGGCACTAATGAGCTATATGAAAATTAGTTGACAGACTAGTATTTAAATTTATCTATTAGCCGGTTAGATTTTTGAATCACAATGTTGTCCACCAAAAAAAAAGCCGCTTGCGGAAAAGTTTTGTAAATGCGTAAACTTGTTTAACGCGTGTGCTTTTTTTTCTCGCTCTTTTGTTTTGTTTTTATTTTTTTCTTTCTGGCGTGTCTTTATTTATGGTTTTGTGTTTTTTCTTTTCGCTTAGTGTATATTTTAAGTGGAAGCTGCAGACCTAGCTGCTCCCACCGCCGGCGCCGACGCCGACGCCGCTGCTGCTGCTGCGTCTGCTGCTGCTGCTGCTGCTTCTCCAAATGTGCTGCAAGTTGAGTGATGCTCTTTTTTCGCTATAAATTGCCGGCATGCTTTAGGGATCAGCATCAGTTTCAACGTCTAGCTCGTCCAGTACAGTCGTAGTCGTAGCCATCAATCCAACATGGTTAGTACGCCTTAACCGTTGGAGCCAGAGATCACAAATTGGTTCAACTGTCAATTTGTTCTCTACCTATTTTTTTTCTACTTTTATTTCCTCCAATTTTTTTTTATTGTGCAAGGGTTTTTATTGTGCTTTGTGCTGTGCCTAATCGGAGCAAACGTCTTCTTCTCGTCCATTGCAGAAATTCCTTATTGTGTTCGCTCTGTTCGCCTGCGCGGCTGCCGATGTCAGCCACCTGGCACCCAGCAACGATTATCTGCCACCTGTGCAGACGTACTCGAGCGGTAGTGGCCTCTCGACTGGCGGCGGCTTCTTGACCGGCAACTTAGGGGGTGGCAGCGCCTACTCGACTGGCGGCGGCTTCTCGACTGGCGGCAGCTACTCGACTGGCGGCGTCAGTACCTCATACGTGCCTCCTGCTGTCAACTACAATGCACCCAGCAACGAGTACCTGCCCCCAGCTGTCCAGCAGACCTACTCCGCCCCTGCCTACCAGCAGACCTACTCCGCCCCTGCCTACCAGCAGACCTACTCCGCCCCCGCTTACCAGCAGACCTACTCTGCCCCAGCTGTTCAGCAGACCTACTCTGCCCCAGCTGTCCAGCAGACCTACTCTGTCCCAGCTGTCCAGCAGACCTACTCCGCCCCCGCTTACCAGCAGACCTACTCTGCCCCAGCTTATCAGCAGACCTACTCCGCCCCAGCTGTCCAGCAGACCTACTCCGCCCCCGCCTACCAGCAGACCTACAGCACTGGATCATCCGCTGGCAGCTACTCGGTTGGCGATGTTGGCACCCAGTACGCCTCCAACGGCGGCTATGTCTACAAGAAGAAGTAAGACGCTGCAAACTGTTCACCATACCGAATCAGCAGTAATGTAAATAGCCTACTATATGCTTTTTGCACCATAAATTCAATTCATTTGTTTTTTTTTTTTGCAACCTGAGTGTACATAATTATTAAAAAAAAAAAAAAACAAATCTGAGAGATTTTATTTTAGTCGTAATGCTTAATGCCAAGCTCAAGTTCAAGGTGCAAGGTATTTGTAAGCTCTTCCATTCAGAATCTGTGAAATCAACCAATCAATCAGTGTCAGTTGGAGATCTGGAAGCTTTCAAAGTCTTGAAGAGCTTTTGCTCATGGTTTCAAAGCTACCAAGTTGCCTAGATGAGCTTAAATATGCTTAACGCGAGCTTTTGCAGCGCTTTTTAAGCTCGCAATTTGTTCCTCGTAAAGCTCAACTCATACTGGACTCATAAAGTAAGTTGTGCCAGTAAGCGACTAGTGAATACCCATTGAAAATGTTTTAGTTTTTATTTTTGCAATTTCCGAACATTAATCATCTGCCTTCATGCAGAGGTTTATAATAAAAATAACTCAGAAAAGTTTCGCATTTGAATGGCACTGCAATATATATAAGTTACATATATTTAGAGGGTGTCTCATAAAAAGACTCTGAATATAAAGCACTTCGATATAAAGATGCTATATACAGGGTATATAAAATATGCAACAAGCTCACTTCTATATAATAAAGTACAGGGTATATCCAAATAAAAAACATTCAAAGCAGTTCCATATATATAAATATATAAATTACAGGGTATATCTTAGACAAATAGAACGTAGCATGTATCATAATAAACTGACCTATAATTGAGTAGAGGGTATCTCAAAGCCTACAAGGTTACTTCAATATATCCAATTTATATATCAAGTACAGGGTATCTCGTTGTCAAATAACAATTAAAATATATAAAAACAATTCTATATGACAGATTAAAGGGTATGTGTAAGTGCACCATGTAAGAGCAACTCGATACCCATTAGACTCTATGCATGTAAGGTACAGGGTATTTTATAGTGAAGCAATGAACATTGGTAAAGACACTTCTATATGACAGTTTACTGAATATCTCCTAAATAAATTACGTTAAGATCAGTTCGATATAAAAAAAACAATAAAGTACAGGGTATATCATCAGTCAGTTCGCAGATGAAATGTAAGAATAACACTTATATATATAGGCATTATGAACCAAGTTCAGGGTTAAGAGGCTCTCGATACACTTTAGACTGAGTATATGTAAAGTACAGGGTATCTAGTAGCAAGCATCAATTTAAACTCATCCAAAACATTTCCAGATTACAGCGCAAAGATTATGCCATAACAAATACACGTTAAGATAGATCGATATACCTTAGACTCTAAATATGCAAAGTACAGGGTATCTATCCAGTCGAGTTGCAGTTAAAATACAACAAAGTGAAATAACATAATTTGTAGTTCGAATATTGTTTGTTTACTTAAAGACAGTTTAGTTCTTTACGATATTATTTAAACATGTTTTCGGATCTGTGTGTGTGAATGGATTTATTATGGGGCTAATTTGCATTGTGAATGCTTAATGGAGAATTGAAGACGTATAAACAGATAAGAGATTCTCCTCTACCTGGATTGTAACATTTATAATTATTATATCATAGAAAGCGTCGATGCCGAAACTGGAACTGAACTGAGGCAAACCAGTTGGGAGAAATGTGTTTCGATTAGTCTTTGTATGCAAAATCGCTGGGGCGCCAGGGTGGCGTGGGGGGAGGGAGGCGGAGCTGGGTCCACATATGCGACAGTTTGCTTGGCTGTCTAATTAATTATTATAGTTCAAATTCAGATTTGGCGTCCCAACGGAACTTCGCATCGCCCAGATGGCCGTTATGATGCAAAGTAGAGGAAAGTGAAATGAAACACATACGAAATAGATATTTATGTAAGTTTCGCTAGATCCCAATACAACCGATGACCTCTGCATTCGTCTTATAAGTGGCCAACTTCATGGCCATTGCGGCACACAGTTCGCACCGCCCGCTCGAGCTTGAGGCCCGCTAAATACGAGACGAAGAGATCCAGCAGAAAGATGCTTGCAATGCCATGGACCACATGGCCCCTGGTGCTGATGTTGGTGGTGCCGCTGCACCTGGTCAACGCAGATGTTAGCCACCTGTCCAGTAACTATTTGCCCCCCGATCCCAAGCCGTCAGCCGCGAAGATTTTGGCTGACGAGCCAGCGCCTGCAGAGCCCGTCAAGGCCGCTGATGGTGCCTTCTATCCCTCTGGAGGTCTGATGCTGCCCTCGGGCTACTCCATACCAACCGGCAGCAATGTGCCACCACCGCCCATGACGCCGCCCAACTTTCCACTGCCCATTTATCCGCCGTTCTTTGGATTTGGTGGCGGTGGCGGCGGGGATGCATTTGGAACGGGAGCGGGTCAAGTGCCGCCAGGATATGAAGCGCAGTTTAATAATGTAGCACAAGGACCACAATTCCCACAGGCTGGACCCTTCCCAATTGGCCCTCAACCTGGACAGTTTCCAGTTGGACCACAGGGTGCTCCATTTTCAGCAGGACAACAAGGCCTTCAGTTTATGGCAGGTCCACAAGGCGGCGGCTTTCCAGTTGGCCCACAGGGCGGCGGCTTTCCAGTTGGCCCACAAGGTGGCGGCTTTCCAGTTGGCCCACAAGGCGGCGGCTTTCCAGTTGGCCCACAAGGCGGCGGCTTTCCAGTTGGCCCACAAGGCGGCGGCTTTCCAGTTGGCCCACAGGGCGGCGGCTTTCCAGTTGGCCCACAGGGCGGCGGCTTTCCAGTTGGTTCACAGGGTGGCGGACTTCCAATTCCCGACTATCTGACCATGCAAGGATTGCCTGCATCTGCCATGCAGCTGGCCTTCCAGCAAAATGTCGGCTTTGGTCCGCAGCCTGGATTCGCCGGACCGCAGCCCACATATCCCTTCCAGCAGCTGGTCAACGTGGGCCAGCCATTCTCGCCCAGCTTCGGCATACCCGGACAAAACTATCAGCCCCAGCCGCAACCATTTGCCGATGAGCCGCAGCCAGAGAGCAATGTGAAACCAAAGAGCACAGCTGCCAAAGCACTGGCCAAGTCCCACAACATGGAGACCGTCTATGCCCCCAACGGCGGCTACATCTACAAGCGGGCCAAATGAGCGAATGAGCAACGACGTGGCTACGTGCCAATAAATTATTATTAAGTCAATTTTTTTACGATTTATTGAACTGGATCATCACCTTGTGCTTTTTTCACCTTTTACGATGACCGAACAGAAATCACAAAAGCCCCGCTTGGCTTTGAGAAGAACATAAAACAGCTCTTAACAAGCTACGAGTCATGTCTGGCTTGACCCGAACTACGCCAAACTGGAATAGTTATATTATTTATTATATTAATCAATAAAAGAGGCGGATATATTTGAGTTGTTTATTGAAAATGAAACTGAAAAGTATTGCGGACCTTGTGAGAGACCGGACTTGCCCCTCTTAGCTTCTCTTTCGCTCGCTCTCTCTCTCTCCCACAATTTCCATTTGGGCACTATTGAAGCTAGACACTGATCTTCCCCTAGAGGCATACCCAAAGGAAATGGACTATAAAAATGAAGTTTTTTAAGTCTTTCAAAAACATTTTTTATACTTTCTTTAAATTTTAATAACACTTCTTATATATTTATTTATTTCTTAACATTATTTTACACATTATTACTTTAATACAATATAATTTTGATTTAGGTCTATAATATTATAATTTTTTCACATAAGCAATTTTTAAATTTTAGATAAATAATATAAAAATTTTGGTTTATAGAATAATAAAATTTAATGCATTGAGTATAACACAATTTTATACAGTTAAAAAAACATATAAAAAATATAATAATTAGATTTTCTTTTTTAGACTTCTCTATAAAAAATTAAGAGATTTTTGGTAAATTCCTTTCCATCGACCCATTACTTTCGTTTCAAAACTTGTCAGCTTAACTTACTAATGACGAAACACTATTTTCAATGTCAGCGTTGAGCTTAGGGCAACATAATGGCTATGAAACTATAAATGCCCATTGGAGTAGAATAGCTGTTTGCGGCCTGGCTACAAGCTGGCAAAATCTTTTGGATGCATGGCAAAACTGGCTCCATGTAAAACAGATTTGCTAATTCTTTGCGAGCGACGCCCACAGGTGTCCAAACTGAGGTGATATTTCCTACAGTTTGCAACTCGTATTTTATGTTTCTATGCAAATTCGTTTGGCAATAGCCACAGAAAAGATTCGCCTTTTTCACATATTCGTCTTCTTCTTATCTTTCATCGCCTTCTTCTTCTTGATCTGTTGTGGTTTTATCGTCGCTAATATTTTATATTTGTCTTTTTTGTAGCTTTGTTTACCTGCAGCCACTTTTATTGTGTGTTATTTAACGTTTTGTGTTCAGATTTTGTTGAATAGATTCGTTTGTTTCGGTCTTATATACATATGTAATGTGTATATGTATACCCTGTAAACATTGAGCATTAAGCAAAGTACAATGAGTACATCAGCAGACGCCGAGTGCAGGTGAAGGTGAGCAGGGCATACTCAATTGTGAGAGCTTTAAGCTCAGATCAGAGTTCAGTCAGTTCCAGTGGCAATTCATGGTAATTTCGCGTAGACTCTCTGCCTAACAGGGTATTCGCTAGTCAGCATCTTAATTGCCATCCCTCGTGCTCATTTGCATTTGCTTGTAAAACAATTTCATTCAACGCTTTGTCAATTATGCGATCCATAATTTCTGTGCTACTCTCTGTAAGGCTTGTGCTCCTCTTCTTCGTCTTCTTGGCAATCTTAAAGGTTGCCCGATTAGCAATTAGTCATAATTACTTAATGCAACTATTGCCACAGGCAGAGACCCTCAACTTGACATTTTTTTGTTTTATTTTTTTTTTTGTTTCATTTCCATCATTCCGAGCGACGCGTGCAGAAGCTGCAGGTGCAAACATTTTGTTGTTGACAAAAGTATTTGATATTGATTTTGTATGCTTGATAAGAAATTATCAAGCTCAGACCTGACTTAATTATCATAATAATAAACATAATTTTGTTAACAAATGCTAACGCAGTCGCACAAAATATCGAGGAATGTATAACAACATTTAGTAGATGAAGGCTAAACTTAAAGGAACTATACCAATGTATATATTTATATATAAATAAGTGTATACATATACTAATGTATTGCTGCGATATATAAATAAAAGTAGCACCATCAAATTCAAATTTGATTTTGCATTAAAAGAAATTAAGAAAGAATCAAATTTCATTTTTTATTTATACAAAAAATTTCTTAATAACAAATTTAAAATTTTTATTTTATTTCTTAAATCAGACTTATTCTTAAATCCAAAGCCAAAGATAAAAGAGAACAATTCTTCAATAAATATTTAAAAATTAGACGTAGTGCTATTATTTTTGCCAAATTTATAAATATTATTATTAATAAATTTAAACTATTATTTATTTATATTTAATTTATTTTTTATTTTAAAATTAACATTTTATTTTTTATCTGAATATATTTATAAATTTATAAATAGAGATATATTATTTCTTTCCCATATATAGTTAATAATATATTTAATATTTTTAAAATAATTTTTGTCAAAAAAAAATATTTGCTAACATTTTTCGAGTATTTAGTTTCTAATTAATTTTGTTTTATTTTTAATTGTTTCTTTTAATTTGAGCAAATGACGAAGGCAAAATATTAAAAAAAAAACTTGAACAAAAAACCACAATTAAAATACTTTTAAGTGTGTTTGCTTGCTTTTGCTTGATTGCATAACTTGACTTGCGTGAGGCCAGCGTTGCCACCCTGTTAGAATTGGTTGACATCAAAGCTTGGGCCATGCGCTGCTATCGAACTGTCAGCGATGCTGTTGATTCAATTCAATGCCAACTCCAGGAGTTCGCCGCGGATCGCTGATCACTTTGAATTGCGTAATTTAACCAGGTGAACGAACGCACCTCATGCGCTGCACCCAGCCCATTGCTGCCTTGCAGTAGCAACAGTCAAATGCAAATAGCCAGGCACATAACACGCTTTGCGCTGTTTGAGAAACTGTTGCATGTGTGTGTATGTGTGTCGCTGGGCATGCGATAAGAAAGCAATTTGTGTAACACCGCCCCCAAGATGGGAAATATGAGATTAGACGCGATTTGCCCACGTCTCGGCAGACGCAGCGCAGAGCTGGACAGTTGGCATTGTGTGCAGCGCAGCTGACAGTGTGAGGCATTGTTTTTTTTCTGCTTTTTATTTTATTTTTTTTTTTTTTGTCCACAACTTTTTAGGCATTTATTAATCGGTCCAAAGTTATAGCCAAATTGCAAGCTTTTGTTGTGGACATTAAGCATTTACATATTCACACATACACAGACACACACTATGAAGCATAGATGTCAGAGATGACGCTGAACCAATTATGGAATGACAATGATGCTAGCTGTCGCCGCAAGTGCTCTGGCCATCGTCTGCAGATGGCATTTGACTATAAATGCCCATCGGATCTGTTGGGCAGGCATCAGTTTTACGGTTTCGTTCGTTTGGTGTAGCACGCGCAGAGCTGTAACTTCACACACAACATGGTAAGCGAATGCGCCCAACTGCGACCAGCGTCACTTTTACCACCTGCCATTTGGCAACTTTGGATTGTTTAAACTGTTTCTGTTTCTTTTCTTTTCTGCTTGGCAGAAACTTATTGCGTTAGTCGTTGTTGGCACTGCCTTGCTGGGCCTGGCTTTGGCTCGTCCGCAGTCGAACGGCTATTTGCCTCCCGCGTCCGTCAGCGTCACGCAGCCACAGCCCGCTCAGCAGCCGATCAGCTATCAGAACTATCAGCAGCAGCGAAGCATCGCTCAGGTTGAGTCGATCCGGCCATCCGTTTCGCTGGGCAGCTTCACCATTCAAAGTGGCGTCCAGTCGGGCAGCCAGCCGTCAGTCGCTCCATTGCCCACTGCCAGCAGCTACGAATCCTCCCAATCGATTGTGGCCACGGATGCGACCCTGAGGTCAACCAGCGTGGTGCCAGCGACTTCCTCGCAACTCTTTGTGCCCGCGCCCTCGCCTGCTGCTCAGGAATCCACAGCTGTTATTGAGCAATCGGTCAACTCGCCCGTCGCACCTGCAGCAGCTCCAGTGGCTCAGCAAACCTACTCTGCAGCAGCTCCAGTGGCTCAGCAAACCTACTCTGCAGCAGCTCCAGTGGTTCAGCAATCGTATTTGCCTCCAGGTCCGGTAGCTCAGCAAATCTACTCCGCGCCAGCGCAACAATTGTACTCTGCTCCAGCTCCAGCAGCAGCTCCAGTGATCCAACAGTCATATGCTCCTGCTCCTACTCCAGTGGTGCAGCAAACCTACTCCGCTCCAGCACCAGTGGTTCAAGAGCAAGTCGCAGCTGCTGCTCCAGTTTTGCAACAAACCTACTCCGCCCCCGTATCGGTGGTTCAGGAGAGTCAATCCATTCAGACTGCTGGCCAAGTCTTTTCAGCTCCAGCGCCAGTGATCCAGGAGAGTCGGGTGATCGCATCGCCCGCACCAGCTGTCCAGGAAATCTACTCCACACCAGCAGTCGCACCTGTGGTGCAGCAGACCTACTCTGGCCCTGTGGGCCAAACGATTTCGTCACCCGCTGCTGTGGTACAGCAGTCGTACGTAGCCCCCACTCAGGCTATTCAGGAAAGCTATGTTCCATCTGCCGCTCCCGTGGTGCAGCAGACCTTTGCTGCTCCTGCTCCGGTGGTTCAACAGACCTATGCTGCTCCTGCTCCGGTGGTTCAACAGTCATATGCTATTCCTGCTCCTGCGGTGCAGCAAGCGTACTCCGCTCCAGCTACAGTTATTCAGCAGGTGCAGGAACCCGTCATCCAACAGGCTCAATATACCGGTTATGGCTACCAGGCACCAGTTGCCACACCCATCCAGTTCCAGGCACAGCAGCAGCAACAGCTGACCTATGCTCCCGCGACTCTGGCTCAGGCTCAGGCTCCGTTGCAGCTGCAGCAATCTTTCGTGCCAGCACCACCCGCTCCGCTCCAATTGAGCAGTCCAGTTGCTGCGCAAGCTGCACAGTTCACGCCCAACTATAGCTTCACACCTGGCCTTGCCCAGCAGGTGAGCTACCCACAGCCAGCACCCACGACCCTTGTGCAAGGTACTGCCACCGTCCAACAAGTTGGTCCCGCTGCAGCTCCAGCTCTGGTTGCGGCTCCAACCGGCAGCGCTCTGATAAGCAGCGCAGTCACAGCCACAGCCAGCGCCATCCCGGAGCCCGTCACCAACTACGGCAGCAACGGCGGCTACGTCTACGGTAAGACGCACTAAATGCGTTTGAACGGGTCGCCTGACTGACACCCGAACTCGCATTTTCAACACCAACGACGTCAATTGTTTTTTTTTTTTTTGTTATTATGTAATTTAGCCAAATTTTAGTTATAGTTCTGTCAAATTGCTCCTTTTTTTATTTGAAATAAAAGCAACACATATTGAGCGCTTAAATCCTGAAGACTGTTACAGCGCTGTTAATTTAAAACTAACAGCGGCTCAACAGCGCTGCCAGCAGTGTTAAAGAACTTTTATAAACAGTACTGAGTGCAGCGCCATTTTTCAATTCTATCACATGGAGTGCTGCCAGCCAGTTAACGCATTCTTCTAAAAGATGTCAACTGAAGCGCCATTTTTAAGTGTCCCCGTTGCAGTGTTGCCAGAGCTGTTAACTTTGATAGGAGCTGTTGAAAGGAGCGCTAATTTTGAATTTTTCACATGAAGCGTTGCCAGCATATTCAAATAAATCTTACAAACATTGTCAACTGGAGCGCCATTTTTAAATGTCCGTGTTGCAGTGTTGCCAGAGCTGTTAACTCGAATAAGTACGATTAAAAGGATGGCCATTTGTCACGTGCGGTGTTGCCAGCACATTTATTAAATTGTCAACTGCAGCGCAATTCTGGAATGTCCGTTTTGGAATGTTGCCAGAGCTATTAACTCTGCTATGAACTGCTAAAAGAAGCGCTAATTTTAAATTTGCCACATGCAGCGAACTAAAATTTTACATATCTCGCAGAACACAAAATGAAATGAATATACAATATTCAATCAGAATAGCAAACGATTAATTAACGGATGTAAATGTGAAAATCCTAAAATGCGGACTTCGAAAATGCTAAAAATAGATGATATTTAAAATGCATTAAGTTTATTGGCCAAATAGATTTCGGAGTCGGATATGAAATTACTTTGCATTGAGTTTATTTGGCGTTACTCATCAACAGTTGGCTATCTGCTATTGATTAATTAATTCCAGACCGTCTCAGCCGTCTGAGTTTTTTATTTCATATTGCCGCAAGGCAGCTTTTTCATTGCTTTCATCTTGATTGATTGTCCGTTCTGACTGATTGCAGGGCATGGAACTCGTTGGCTGTGAGCGGCCAGTGGAACTGCCAAGCTTCGCGTTATGAATGGAGTTTCTTTGCCAATAACGTGCTTTATGAGTCGGCCATCAAATCGACGAGCTGTGCAACAATAAACCCCAACAGAAATAAAAGCAACGAAACATGTTTCAGATTTAGAATTTAGAGTTCTGCGGCCGCTAATGAACAAGCGACCAATCATCAATGACGATCGTCACAATAAGATTCCAGTTGGAGCTCAAGCTCGTTCTGAACACTGATTTTATTATTTGTTATTATTTTCTTATTTGTTGTATTCTTTGCTCATTTATTCATAGAAAGCTTATAATGAACGATATTTTATGAGCATTTGTTAAATTAGCTACAAGTTCTTATTTTCTTGTTCTTCCCATCGCGTCGCTTTGACATTTCTCTCTTGACTATAAATATGCTAGGACGCACTAGCCAGAAATTAGTTCTTTGGCCAACTTTGTCACACACACACCCCTTCAACATGGTTAGTAGGGACATGCTGCCGTGTCCGGCTGCGGCTAATCTTTGACTCTTCTTCACTTCTTTATCATTTTAGCAACTCTTTGCCGTCGTCTCGTTCGCCCTGGTGGCCCTGGCCGCCGCTGATGTTAGCCACCTGGCCAAAAACTATCTGCCACCTCGCTCCTACTCGTCCGGTGTGGTGAGCAAGGGCTACATCGCTCCGGCTGCCTCCTTCCAGAGCGCCTCGTATGCTGCACCAGCTGCTGACGAATCTTTCGATGCGGCCAGCTATGGCAGCGACTCCTCGGCTGTGGCTCCCGCTGCCTCCTTCCAGAGCGCCTCGTATGTTGCTCCAGCTAAGTCATTCGCCAGCAAGAGCTACGCTGCTCCAGCTGCCAGCAGCTTTGCCGCTGATGCATCGTACGTCGCTCCCGCTGCCAGCTTTGAGAGCGCTTCGTATGCCGCCCCAGCTGCCTCGTTCGCCAGCAAGAGCTACACCGCTCCCGCAGCCTCCTTCCAGAGCGCCTCGTATGTGGCTCCAGCTAAGTCATTCGCCAGCAAGAGCTACGCTGCTCCAGCTGCCAGCAGCTTTGCCGCTGATGCATCGTACGCCGCTCCCGCTGCCAGCTTTGAGAGCGCCTCGTATGCCGCCCCAGCTGCCTCGTTCGCCAGCAAGAGCTACAGCGCACCCGCTGCCAGCTTCGTCGGCGACGCGTCATATGTTGCCCCAGCTGCCAGCTTCCAGAGCGCCTCGTTCGCAGCTCCAGCCGTCAAGTCGTACGCCGCCCCAGCCGCTAGCTTCGTCGGCGAATCGTCATACGTTGCTCCCGCTGCCACCTTCGAGAGCGCCTCGTACGCTGCTCCCGCTCCCGTTGCCGCTGCCAGCTACAGCGCACCTGTGGTGAGCTACTCCGGCATTGACACCACCTACGGCTCCAACGGCGGCTACGTCTACAAGCGCAACTAAGTTAACGCCAAGAACGCTTCAAATCGATATTTCTACCAACTTTTTTTTCAATCCAAACTCTTTTTTTTTTAAATAAATTAATGTCTACAAAAATAATAAAAAGCTACCAGAAACGATAAACCACATGATTTATTTACACTTAATGAAAGTTCCCCCAATACTTAGCAAATTCACGAAATATGCAAATCTATATAAGCCTCTCAATATACTCAACTAAGTAACGCCTTTGTTCTGCTACTGAATGAAGTTGAAATTCCAGAGAGTTCTTTATCGTATAAGGAGGCTGGTCTCCACATGGACGCCGTCTATGATGTCATAAGACGACATTATGATATCATGCTATCATAAATATATATATATATATATATATATATATATATATATATATATATATGTCCATCTTCATATGCTGCATAGAATTGACATAAAGAAAAATTGGCAAGTTGAAAGCAAGTGAACCCGTTGAGCACAACCGACTGCACAATGCTCGCTGTGACGTTTACAGATCGATAAATGGATCAATCTGAAGAGATGGGCAACAGATTTCAGACCTGCCATGCTGTGGGCTTTTCTTGTGCCCCAAACTGCGCTACGACTGAGCAAATAAAAGCGAAACAGCCTGGAGAAGAAAACAAAAAATTATTTTTTTTTTAGAATTGGAAAAAGTTTTGATATAAATAAAAAATATATAAAAAATAAATAAATTAAAAAAAAAAAACAGTTCGTAGAGTCCGAGGCAGCACCAAACGAACTGAATAAACCCGCAAAGCCAATACGCTCTTCTGGCTTAGCGAACAAGCAGCAACGTCTCGAGCACAGAGAAGACTAACTAATGATGAACGATCTTCAATAAGTTAATCTATGTGGGATATAAATAGTTGCTGCATGGTCTGGGGTTAGGTTATATAAGATCTGTTATGCGTATTGTCTTGCATCAGTGTGATTTATTGAGCTGCTGGAGAGTAGATACAACAGATACTGGGATATATGTAAAGAGTGGGTAGACTATTCCTAGGTGGCGACATCCTGCTCCTTGGCCGTGGCCACAAAGAGAATGTTTAGCTTGCTGCTGATGGGTCGCTTGCCGTCGTCGTGCTTCACGTGCAGCGCGCCCGAGTCGACGCGGATGCTGCCCAGCAGTTGGCCCGGCTTGAGGTAATAGTTCTGGCCCAGCGATGTGGGCCGATGTTCCGTGATCAGGTGAAAGACCATCGACTGCGGATTGTCGTTGCTGCTGATGAACAGCTTTGGCCTCGCTGTGCTGCCCGCTGGCCAGGCAAAGCCCTGCGCCAGCATCGAACTGGCCAGCAAAATCCAAGTGAACTGCATGTGGCTGGCAAGAGGCGACGAACGATGTGCAGACGATGGCAACAGGTCGCCATCTGAGTGAGTGCAGCAGGCTTATATGGAGGATATTCTGGATGCAGCTGCATTGCCGGGCCAGGGCAACGGCTCTTCTATGCACTTCTCACACGACTCTTCCTCGCCTGCGCCGTTATTCGGGCATAACAAGTTTCCAACGTCCATAAACATTAACCCGATTCGACAACAAAAAGAAACAGAGAGAGAGAAAGAGAGAGAGAGAGAGAGAGAGCGAGAGAAATGAAGAGGCAATACATAAAACACGAAACGTATATATGATTATATAGAGCTCTATATACATATTCATATATGTACATGCTCAATGCTTTTTAAGCGCTCCCATTTCAGCAGCACAAAAGGAATACAAGAAACCGAAAGAAAGAGGTAAAAAGCCATAAGAAACTCAGGCAAAGCAAAAAAAAAAATTAAATAAATAAATACAAAATTTTTGCAAATTGCGTTTGTCGTATCAGGTTTTATATACTATATATCATATATATATATATCTATATATGGCAGTTGATAAGCATATAATAGTAGTAGGAACACATATATAAAAAATACATAATCAGCTTTATGTTCGCTTGTATTGTCAAGCAAATAAATTAACTTTTTGCTCAATTTCTGTCTATACCCTATACCCTGTGCACGGGCAATGGGGTAGAGCTGTGCAGACCTCGCCTCGTGTAGAAACGTGAAATAACCAAATTTCACTGGCCTTATATTTGGTTAGGGTATATGCGAGTCGTTCACGTGGCACTCCCCATACTCGTTTTCAATTAATATGTATGTTCACTTCTAATAGCCAATAAATTGGCTGAAAATATTTTGAAAATAATTTATTAAAGCTGCCAAAATTGGTTAATTAAATTTCAAGAAGATGATGAAGAATTAGGTTGGCTTAGTTTAAAAAGAAGAAGAAGGCGAAGAAGACGACGCCAGCGGGCCGAGGTAATTAGCAGAGCTCTGAAATATATCTGTGAGCTGCTTGATTTATTCTTCAACTCATTATCTCATCGGCACCTGCTGTACAAAGTGGATTCTCTAGTCAGGTCGAGCTCCTCTGGCCCCGCGATAGTGAAAGTCGAATCGATAATCGAACTGCATTTAATCAAGTTATGCAATATGCTCTACAAATATTTGCTAGATGCGTTAATGTTTACAGTTTTGCTAACCAGAACTTGTTTGGCTTTTATTTTCATATCGTCTGGCCTTAAAAAGTGTCGAGCCACAAGCATTGCGAGAGTGAAGAGGCACGTTGAGCCCATCAGAAGCAGCAGAAGAAGCGGCAGAACGAGGGAGATGAAAACGAAAGTGGAACTGCTAGTAAAAGAGTAAGCTGAAGAAGATGTAATGATAGCGAAAAAACAGTTAATTGAAGAAATGTCATCAAATATAAATAGTAGAAAAAGAGAAAGAACTAGAAGCTTTCTACCAATCGTAGTAGAAGCGAAGTGGCAAGAGTTAAGGTCGAAGCGGAAATAGTAGTAGAAGTTAAAATATTAGAACATATAGTTATATTTGATATAGAAGAACTAATATAAATATAACTATTATAAGAAGCATTAATAGAAACTAAAAGTAGAAGTAGAGGCGGTTATAAAGGCAGTAGGCGGGGAGCTGGTAAAAGCAGTAGTAGTAACAGTAGTAATAGTTGAAGTAGTATAAGTAGCAGTATAAGCAGTAGTTGTAGAAGTAGTTGAAATAGTAGTAGTAATTGTAGTAGTAGTAGTATTATAAATAGTACTAGAAACAGTAGTAGTATAAATGGTAGTAGTAGCAGTAGTAGTAGTAGTATACATAGTAGTAGTATAAATATAAATAGTAGTAGTAGTATACGTAGTAGTAGTAGTAGTACAAATAGTAGTAGTAGTAGTAGTAGTAGTAGTAGTAGTAGTAAATAGTAGTAGTAGTAGTAGTAGTAGTACAAATAGTAGTAGTATTAGTAGTAGTAAATAGTAGTAGTAGTATAAATAGTAGTAGTATTAGTAGAAGTAAATGGTAGTAGTAATAGTAATAGTAGTAGTAGTACTATAGCAGCAGAAAATAGTATTAGTTTAAATAGTATTATTATTAAATAACAGCATAAATAATAAAAAAAGTAGTATAAAAATAGTAGTAGGTTGTTGCAAACGTAACCCAAGTAAAAATAGCAGCAAATCTTATGGCTGTAGTATAATATGTAGAAATAGTAGTAGCAGTAAGTTAAATGGTAGTAAAGTTAATGTCGAATTAGTAGTAAATTAGATACAGTAACAATAAATAATATTATACATACATATCAACATTAAGCTACTACTACTACTCTTTATGTGTCGTCTGCAATTGGGTCTCCTTGGCCAGCAGGCAAACGACTGGCAACACTTGAGTCCGCATGGACTATCGAAGAGCAACTGATATATGGTATCTGAGTTGGGATAATGATCTGCACAGCCGGGCGCATAATTGAAGTTCGCGCCCATAAACAAAGTGTCCAAATTGTTTGCTTTGTTGTTTTTGGGGCTTTGTCTTTGTGTTTTTCTGTTTCTGGTTTGTTCACCATTTGCTTAGCACGCAATGATATAAACACTGTGCGAATTATAATTAATGTCTAATGTGAGTAATCGTCGCGCTGAGCCCGAGTAAAGCATTAAAACGTTAAAGCTTTCGGCCAAGATTTAGTGCCAAATTCCATGTCCCAGGTATATGGCCCGCAGCTATGCCAGCCCAATCTGAATCAATCCAAATAGAGGCGATCTCTCTTCAGCTCCGCCTCACACTTGCCCTTGCCCCCCTCCTCGGCCCGTAGCTCACTCTATTCCACTGCCTCTACACCTAGATCTATCTCGTTATCTTTATATTTATCTATCTATGACTCTACCTTTGCTGCTAGTCTGTACGCCTTACTTATCTCACGCTCGCTTCACGACCAACATGGCCAAGCTAAGCTGAGAACAAAAAATAAACAAAACAAAACACAACAAAAAAGCCAAAAATATTAGAAAAAAAACTCATCATTAATTAAACTTTCAAAGTATTTGCGTTAATGTTGGCGTTTGGTTCTGCGACTTCCGAAATGGACATGGCTAAAAATAAACGAACTATTAGATTCCATGGCATCCTCTACAATAGCTAAATTCTGCGTTTACACTGTGCTACACATTATTGGATTTCTCCCATATTTTATTTTATGCAAACTATTTCAAACTATATCTATTTTAAAATTATATCCATAAATTTAAAATATTTTCTTTTCCCTCTTATGATTATTTAATACATTTTTTAATATTTCAAATATATTAATAATTAACTTAAATATACATTTTTTTTATTTATGCATTTTATATTAAAAATTTTTTAAAATAAATATGTGTTTAATATAATCTTTTTTAGTCAACACTAAAATATATTTTAGTTTTGATTATATAATTTCTTTTACTTATTATTATTTTTTAAATTTAAAATATTTACTCATGTTTTAAATTTAATAAAAAAATGGTTTTTAATATTTTTGTGAGTAATATATTTACACAATTTTTTATATATTTGTAAAACGACTTCAACTAATAAGACGAAGTATTTTATTTGTCCTTCGAAAGTATTTGTAAAATATTTCTTATACTATATTATTTTTGGAATCTATTTTAATTAATAAAATAATTTGAATATTTTTCAAAATATTTGTAAATATTAGATGCTTAATATGCTAATTTTAAATTTAAATATTTTATTTTAAATATTTTTGCAAATTTTAGCCTCCTTATAAATTTGTGTCTTTTGGTAGCGTTGCCACCTTTTTGAATATATTCAATATTAACGCAAGGATTCGATAAGCCCCTTTTTATTAAGGGCTTAACTTAGCAATTTCTTTAAAATACATATAAAAAAAGTTAACAAATCTTGAATTTCTATATAGAGTCACATATTTAAATTCAAATATGAATATTAACAAATCGAGAGAATAGTTTGTGAACATAAACTCGATTGTGGTTAGGATGAAATTCGAGTTCCTTCTTGGTAATTATTATAAACAGGCAAACTAATTACAATCAGGTAGAATTATGTTTCTGTTTATCGTTTTATCAGACTCGTTTCATGGCTGAGTGTGCGGGTCTCAAGTTTCGGCTGACTAGTTTAACTGAGATCTTGGGTTCCGTTTCGTTCTTCTACGCGACTTGTACTCGCAATTCTTTTGTCTGTGAGCGCTATAAAAGTGTTGGTCCGCAACTCCAGGGGCATCAGTAACCGCTTGGTAAGCATCCAAACAACCCACAACGAGCTCGTCATGGTAAGTCCCGCTCAGCGACTGTCCCGATGCCAGTCTAATCTAATCGCATCGTGTCTGCCGACAGCGCCCATTCACCATTTGCACAGCTCTGCTGGCCATCGTCGCCCTGGGCGTGGCCAGTCCTTTGAGCAACACCTATCTGCCACCACAGGCCAATGCGTATAGCGGCTACAGTTCGGCTGGATCGAGCGGCTTCAGCTCCTATGCACCATCGAGCTCCTACTCATCGCGCTCGCATGGCGGCAGCTATGCAACGCCATCTCGACAGTATTTGGCGCCGGCCACATCTCTCAGCAGCTACTCGACCGGCGGTGCCAGCAGTTACTCTGCCCCAGCCATCTCACATGGCAGCTACTCGTCAGCTGGCTCATCATTCGCAGCTCCATCGCGTCAGTACCTGGCTCCAGCAGTTTCTCATAGCAGCTACTCGGCTCCAGCAGTTTCTCATAGCAGCTACTCGGCTCCAGCCATCTCCCACAGCAGCTACTCCGCACCAGCTGTCTCCCATAGCAGCTACTCGGCTCCATCTCTCTCTCAGAGCAGCTACTCTTCCTCGGCCTCAACATATGCTCCTTCCCGCCAGTATTTGGCACCAGCTGTCTCACGCAGTAGCTACTCCGCACCAGCTGTCTCCCAAAGTAGTTACTCCGTTCCAGCCATCTCCCATAGCAGCTACTCCGCTCCAGCCGTCTCCCGCAGCAGCTACTCTGCTCCAGCCGTCTCCCATAGCAGCTACTCCGCTCCAGCCATCTCCCGCAGCAGCTACTCCGCTCCAGCTGTTTCACACGTCAGCTACTCCGCTCCAGCCGTCTCTCATAGCAGCTATTCCTCGCCAGCTCGTTACGCCTCCTCCTTCGGCCAGGGTCTTGGTGGCTATGCTGCAGGCTCTTCAGCTTCAGCTCGTAGCTTTGGACAGGGCTTTGGTGGATCCCGCTATGCAAGCGGAGGCGTCTATGGTGGAGGCGGCACTCGCTACGCTGCCAACGGTGGATACGCGTACCGTCATAAGCATTAAGCTGATCTCCACAATTTCGAATTGAATCGGGCTAAAGGTTAACAACAAAACGAATTTCTTAATTACCAATTTTTTTTTTAAATTAAGTTTCTTAATTAGTTTGAGTATAAATAAAATTTGAAGTGTGCAAGAGACGAGATAAATGTTTTCTTTTCAATTTGTGATGTCAGTAGAAAAACAAATCCAAGAGTGATCGACTAGCAAATACCCTAACCCACCTTTGGTCACTCTCCCCTTATTCCTATGCTTTTCACTTTGCCCTACAGTTGCTCATTAAATCTGCATACAATTTTAGATAGTTATAGGGTGAATACCTTTATTAATACTACAAAAAAAAAGTTATAGATACGCGTATATATGTATATATATATATAGATAAAGTGAGCACTCGTTTCATGTGAAGACATAGCTCACACAGCCTCAAGCGACGGCTTGGCTCATCTCCTAATATAAATAGCCTCCATTAGCGGCATATTTGGTGTCCTGACCGCTGTAGCTAGAGCCGGCGTAGCCAGATCCCGAGTAGCCTGTCAGAGCTGGCGAGGCATAGGTGTTATACTGGGGCACAGCTGTATATCTATTGTAGCCAGAATCGACCAATGAAGCACCGTAGTCTGAGCCAAGACCGGAGTTATAGCCGGATCCTAAGCCAGAGTTGTAGCCAGAGCTGGCCACCGGAGCAGCGTAGCTGGAGCTAATGTCAGAGTTATAGGTATAGCTTCGGCCGGAGCCAAGTCGAGAGCCCGAGTAGTAGGAGTTGCCCGTATACGAAGGATACGAGGTGTACGCCGAGTAGCCGCTGGCACCACTGAGCGGTGGCAAATAGCCACGCGAGAGAGGCAAATGAGAGACATCAGCGGCGCACAGCACAAGAGAAGCGATCAAAGCGATTGTCGAAATGGAATGCTATAGGGAAAGAAGCAGATAAGAAAGACGATGCTTCGGATAAGAGTTGAGATAAAAGGACTCAATCAATCAATGAGTCTATATCTTATCTAGTCACACTTTTCACAGGATATGTCGTAAGAACTTGCCATTTTGAGGATTCTAGGATTGTAGCTCTTCAGTTTCAGTTCAGTTTAACTGAGTTCAGTGCAGATTATACGAGTTCACTGGAATAATGTTGACGAATGACTGTGGCTCAGTGGGCATCGTGTGTGCATTTTATACTCTCGAAAGAAAAAACGACAAGTCCGAACTGTTATTAAATGAAATGTATCGTGCGGCCAGATTTTACAGCTAATTTGAACGCCTTTACGGCACTGCGAACATGTCGACGGACAATGCTCATTACTCAAGCCCAGCACTGAATAGCTGAATAACTGAATACCTTAACAACCGAAAGAGACAGCAACAACTGAACTGCTTAGATATGTTGGGCGACGCGCTTAGCTGTGTGTGGCGAATCCCACGATCCCACGACTCATCGACGACGAACATCCAATTTCGTATGAGACTCGTAAATGCATTTTGCTAGATTTTGTGGTTTTTCGATATACCCTTTCATCGGGTATATAGCACAAGGGGTTAAGTGCACTGATGGCGATCTCATTGAGTGTACTGCTTAACTATGAGAGACTCACAGAAAGATAGAGAGGGGAAGAAATAGGAAAGTGAGTGAGAGAAACAGAGTAAGAAGAGGGAGAAACAAATTGAGAGAGAGGGAAGGAAATATCGTGAATGCTGTTTAGGGTATTCCAATGTCGATTTGCCTTAGTTGCATGTTCGTTCTTGTCATTTATTTTGTTATTGCTTTTATGACCCTGCCACGCCTTCTCCGCACTCACTTCACCCCTTCTTTCGCTGGCTTTCGGGGGTAACAGTGTCGCGCGCTCCTTTACTCAAATTATATAATTTATATATTTTTCAAATCAGCCTTGGATATTGTTTTGTGTTAAGTGGATGCTGGTATTGCTGTTGTTGTTATTTTATGACATATCGCGGTCAGAGCGGCGCTTTGGTCTGAGTCGCCCCTAATAAATCTTATTGTTATTAATTGTTGTCACAATAGTCTGTAATCAAATTGTTGTATCGTAGGATCCCATACATTATATACATTATATATGTATATATATTTTAAGAACACGAAATATGACATTAAACCATGCTGGATTCCCGATTCTTCTTTGATCATGTAATAATGGATATTTGCATTAATTAAAAGCGTTGACTAAATCAAACTGGCCAAAATGCTATATTCAAACTGAAGAAGCAGTGGGTGCGGAACTACAGAAGCAATGAGCGCATGCCGGAGCCAAACACCTGTTCTTAACAGCGACCCTGAGCAAAGACTCGAGAGCGAAGCCGCCGCGCCCAAAGGCTTACAGCGAAAGTCACACCAGATGCAAAGTCTGTTAATGTTCATAGCTTGGAGGACTCATAACGTAGCAGCTGCTGGATCGCATTATAGAGCTGCAGCTAGAGGAGTGGACGGCCGAATTTCAGATGTATGTTAAAAAATTGCTACAGTTGTCAAAAGTTAATTAGGCGCGACTTGCATATGATAATTAATTATACTTAATTTGTATTATGATGAGATTACAATAGCGAAATACAGTAACACGCAAAAATTATAATTACAAAAAATTTAAATAATGTAATTCGAAGGTCGTAATGTATTTTCATACTTTGTTAAAGAGTATTTCAGCGGTTGCACCAGCTGGTCACACCAAGTGTAACGGAACTTAACCGAATTTCGAAATATCTTACATATGTAAGTGTTGGCGTGTAACGAAGCAATTGCACTTCCTTGCAATTGCACATCGTTCAGTTCGCTTTTTGCATCTTACCGTTTGCGTTGAGTTTGCGCATGCTTGTTGCATTTTGTTAGTAATTTGTGTTGAACGTCTAATATATTTGTTCTGTTAATGTTGAATTTATGAATAAAAACGCGGTGAATAAAACCACAAGCCGCTGCATTAAAAGCACACATCAAATGTGAGTAGCAAATAACGCCGTAGTTAGCCTTCTTACGTAACATAACCTCAAATGCACACGTGCATTTTGTCCAAATAGGGCCGCAACCTTGCGGAAGAATCATGTGCGAACACAGTGCCATGTGCAGCAGTCCTGGTGGCTTTTGTGCCTGTGCGCTGGAGTGCTGCTGCTCGTTTGCGGTGCGACTTTTACCTCCGCGACGGGATCAGCGCACGCACGGTGCGATGGAGATCAGTTCCAGTGCAAAAACGGAGTCTGCATCTTACAGGCGAAGATGTGCGATGGACGTAGCGATTGCACAGACAACACGGATGAATTGGACTGCGGTAACTTAAAATCGAGAATAACCTCAAACTCAATATGATAAATATCTATATCTAAATGCTATGCTATATCTGTGGACTGCAGACTACAAGCTGTGCCGGCAGCCGCATTGGTTCCCGTGTGCACAGCCACACGGTGCCTGCCTGGCAGCGGAACTAATATGCAATGGTGTCGACAATTGTCCCGGCGGCGAAGATGAGCTCCATTGCCCGCATCGAATGGTGGTTAGCTTCGGGCACCGCAACTGCAGCCAGTATGAATACATGTGCCAAGATTACAGCTGCATACCGCTCGACTTTATGTGTGACGGTAAGCCGGACTGCCCCGACAGCTCCGACGAGACCGCTGGCTGCAAGCAGTCAGCCACCAGTTGCATCACCGGCCACCTCTGTGCGAACGGACGCTGCCTACAGCGCAAACAGTGGCTATGCGACGGAGTCGATGATTGCGGCGATGGCAGTGATGAGAAGGACTGCGGTGAGTAAATGCTTTCAAGGATTTGGTCAAGTAAATGGCCATGGATTATAAACTTTACTTTGCAGAGGATCTCTGTCAACCGTCTATGGGAAAATTTATGTGCCGTAATCATGGCAGTTGCCTGTCGCTCGCTCAGGTCTGCGATGGACAGCCCAACTGCTCAGATGGCAGCGATGAGAGCGAGAGTTGCCATGTCAAGCCCGATTGTAGCAGCAAACAATGCCCGCCCGGTGCCACGTGTCACATGATGCCCACCAGCGGACCGGAATGCTATTGCAAAAGCGGGTTTCGTCTGATTAAATTTAAGGATAAGTGCGAGGATATTAACGAGTGCCAGGAGCGACAAGACCTGTGTAGTCAGCGCTGTGAGAACACATCCGGTGGCTATCGCTGTACCTGTGATGCAGGCTACGAGCTGGATGACAGCAATAACCGCACATGCCATGCCATAAACAGTGGCACAGAGAAACAACCACCGCTACTACTGTACACGACCCAGATGACTGTGATGGGCATGCATCTAACGCCGCAGTCGAAAGATCGTCATCACATCTTCAGCGTGGCCACAAATTTGACTAAAGTGATTGGCGTGGCTTTTGATGGCGACCATGTCTACTGGACCAACATACAGAACGAAGCGGAGAGCATTGTGCGTGCACATGCCGATGGGTCCATGGCCGAGATATTGCTCACGTCTGGTCTAGACGCTCCCGAGGATTTGGCTGTCGATTGGCTAACTCACAATATATATTTCTCAGATAATGTTATGAGACACATTGCGGTGTGCTCGAACGATGGACTCAGTTGTGTGGTGCTGGTCACAGAGGATGTGCACCAGCCGCGCAGTCTAGCATTGTGGCCACAACGTGGTCAAATGTTCTGGACCGACTGGGGCAATAAGCCAATGATAGCCCGTGCCTCCATGGATGGCAAACACTCCCAACCGATTGTATCAGATAATATACAGTGGCCTAACGGCATTGCCTTGGATATGCACCAGGAGCGTATCTATTGGGTGGACGCCAAGCTGGGCAGCATACAAAGTGTGCATCCAGATGGCAGCGCACGTCAAACTGTACTCGATGGAATGCTAAAGCATCCTTATGGTCTAGCTATATTCGAGGATCATCTGTACTGGTCGGACTGGGGCACCAGGAGCATTCATACCTGTCACAAATTCTCAGGCAAACAACATCGTATTTTGGCACGTGATCGCACAATCTACGCCGTGCATGTCTATCACCCGGCGAAGCAACCGCAGATTCCGCATGCCTGTGAAACGGCACGATGTTCGCATCTTTGCCTGCTCGCTGAGCCGAGTGCGGGTGGCCACACGTGCGCTTGTCCAGAAAGCATGACACTGTCAGCAGATGGACGGCGCTGCAGCCAGACAGAGAAGAAGCAGCGTCTGTTCATTGGACTGCGTCAAGTGCTGCTAGAAATCGAACACACTTCGTTTGGCCGACATGTAGTCAGCTACTCGCACAACCTGCCCTGCTACATCAGCGAGATGGTCTTCAACAACATCAACGGCACCCTCTTCATTGCGGACAACATGCAGCGCGCGATCTTCGAATACGTGCCACATATCAACGAGCACCGCCTGACCACGTTGGTCTATCGGAATCTGGGAAACATCAGCGCTTTGGCATTCGATCATTTAGCCCACAATCTCTACTGGGCGGATATCGATCGCCACGTGATTGAACTGATTTCCTTACGCACCGGACAGCGTGCATTGGTACGCTTCTTTTCTGGAGATGAGATGCCCATAGGTCTGAGCGTTATGCCAGCGGAGGGATATATGTTTGTTGCACTCAAGGCGCGCCGGCACACACATATCGATCGCTTGGCACTAAGCGGAAAGGGTGCTCAGACTCACGTCTTTGAAGACGATCTGGGCGACGATGACATCAAGTTGGCCGTAGACTATGAGACGCGCACTATGTTTTGGTCAGACAGCGATACGAATCGGATCAGCTTCAGCAATTATCGCCAAACCCATGCGAATACGTTTCGAGGCAAATTCCGGCGACCATATGCTCTGGCCTTGGTCGATCAGGATCTGTTTTGGAGTGAGCTTGGCACACCGGCCATCTACTGGACGCACAAGAACAACTTGGGTCCCAACAAACGCATCGAGATCGATACAAATCCCCATCTGGGTCGCGATGGTGCAGGTGCAGCAGCCGCCGCCTTTCTCACCCACGCCCTGCCCATTCGCATACCACTGGCAGGAAGTCGACGACTTGTCGATGGCTTAGCCCCGCATCCCTGCCAGCATGCCAACGGCGGCTGCTCGCATGTGTGCGTCAGTGCCGGACAGTTTGACAGTGCATGTCTATGCCCCGCAGGCTTTGTTTACCGCGATGCCTCTAATCGCAGCTGCACTGAAGCCCTGGATTGTGAGTTCCGTTGCCGCACCTCGGGCGAGTGCCTGACCATAGCGCACCGTTGCAATGGCCATCAGGACTGCGCCGACAGCTCTGATGAGTCGGACTGCGACGACATCAAACGCACTAAAGTCAAATGTGATCTATCACAGTTCGCCTGCCACGATGGCGAACGTTGTCTGGCCAAAAACAAGCGCTGCGACGGCAACAAGGACTGCAACGATAACTCTGACGAGCTGCACTGCTCTCAGTTCGGTAGGCCATACTCTTTATATATAGATGCATTCATATTAAAATATATACATATCCATTGTAGATAAAACAAAGCTCTGCCACGCCCATCAGCACGCTTGCGACAATGGCAAGTGCGTGGACTACACCTTGGTATGTGACGGAAACAACGATTGTGGCGACAACTCGGATGAGCTGCGTTGCAAGGAAGCCGCCAGCTGTGAACGAGGCATGTTCCAGTGCAGCAGTGGATCGTGTATTGCCAGCAGCTGGGAATGCGATGGCCGCATCGATTGCAGCGATGCATCCGATGAGCACGACAAGTGCGGACAGCGTCAGTGTCCAGAGAAGATGCATCGCTGTCTGCTCGGCCAATGTCTCGATGCGCAGCTGGTCTGCGATGGCCACAACGACTGCGGCGATCAATCGGATGAGCTCAATTGTGACCGGCGCAGCGGTGACAATGCTGCAGGCAACATCAGCTGCGGCACTCTGGCCTCCCCAATGTATCAATGTACCAGCAATCTGAATCTGTGTCTCGATATGGCAGTGCGCTGCAATGGCACCGCCGAATGCCCGCGCGGCGAGGACGAGGCAGACTGCGGCGAGCTGTGCAGCATCTACGAGTTCCAGTGCCGAAGCAACAAGCAGTGCATACGTCAGGAGTTCCGCTGTGACAAGGAGCGCGACTGTCCGGACGGCAGCGACGAGGAGCACTGCGAGCAGCACACGTTGCATGGCAACGCGACGAGCAGCGACAGCAGCTACTCCTCAGACATGAGTGCGAGACGTGCATGTAAGCCGCATCTCTTCGACTGCCATGATGGCGAGTGTGTGGACATGTCGCGCGTCTGCAACGGCTTTGCGGACTGCATCAATGGCAACGACGAAGGCCCACAGTGTGGCAGTGCCTGCACCAAGCCCCTCTGCCAGCACAAGTGCCAGGCGACGCCGGCGGGCGCTGTATGCACCTGTTTGGAAGGCTATCGGCTGCAGAGTGATCAACGCAGCTGTGTGGACATTGACGAGTGCGCCGTCTCGCCCGAGCAGCAGCCGTGCGCGCAGATATGCGAGAATACGCCGGGCAGCTTTCAGTGTCAATGCCATGCAGACTTTATGCTGCGCCAAGATCGCAGCAGCTGCAAGAGCATACAGTCTGGAGCGACTCTCCTCTTCACCAGCTACAATGAGGTGCGCAATCTGAGTGAGCAGCCGGTAATGCTGTCTGTAGCCTGGTCAGCAAACGATTCACGTATCAGCGGCTTCGATGTGGACATGCGCCGTAAGCTTGGCTACTTTAGCAGCGAGGAGGAGAATGTCATTTACCGCGTGGATATGCGAGATCGCAGTCGCATGGCCGCACTCCATCTGCGCTCACCCAGCAAAATGGCCGTGGAGTGGACAACAGGCAATGTGTACGTGATCAGCGGCAGTGCGCCACAGCAGATTAGTGTGTGCAGCTTCCGGGCCAAGATGTGCGGTCAGATACTGCACATGACGTCCCGATTCAACCTTAAGGCGCTTGCCGTTGACGCTCACCTGGGGCGACTTTTCTATGTGGCCATACGCAGCGAGACCTTTGGCCTGCACATTACGCAGCTTCACATGTCGCGCCTCGATGGGAGCCGGCGAGAGCTGCTGCTGCGCAAGCATCGCAGCTATGTGACCGCCATTGCAACAGATCCGCATCAGCAGATGCTCTACTTCGTGGATCTGCACAGTCGCACCCTTGAGATGATCAGCTATGGGGGACGCGGCAGTGCCAAACAAAGACAGAGCTACGTGCTGCTCCAGAAGAGCAACGCTCTGATGCAGCCGACTGGACTGAGCATCTACGAGAATCACGCCTACATTGTCAATATGGGCGCTAGGGAGGCGGTACGCTGTCAGCTGTATGGGCAACGCAGCTGCAAGGCCATCAATTTGAACGTAATGAATGCCCAGGATATCATTGTGGCCGGAGTATCCCGGCAGCCGTTAGCTTCAGCCAATCCCTGCCAGCATGCCCATTGCACCGGCATGTGTGTTCTGGCTGACTACGGGTACGAGTGCATGTGTGGCGATCTTGTCGTGCCGGAGTCACAGCAGTGTCCACAGGGCATTACGAATGAGATCGACATAAATTCTTTGCTCTCGAGTGAGCAGCGCTCGGACAGCAGCGATGACGGAGGTAGTCGAGGTGCTTGGCTACTGGCCATGCTACTGTTGATGGGAGTTGTTGCCACTGGCATTGGGTACATGTTCTATCAACGGCGGCAGCGCGGACATCGCGATCTCAATATTAACCTGCATTTCCAGAATCCTCTGGCAACGCTTGGCGACAAATCGCTCCAGGAGGACGGCAACGAGGTGGACCTGGCATGCGACTCCGGTAGTAGTGCCAGCAGCAGAGGCATCAGCACCCACACTACTGCCACAGGCCCATATACGACCGAGCGCGAACCCCTTCAGTTTGGTGTACCCAAGATCCTGCAGAGATTTCTGCAGCAAAGGCAAAAACAGAACAGCGAAATGGTTACACAAGTTCCGCTCGAAAACACAAGAGTAAGTAAAGAACTAGAGCTATCTATATATACGGATACAATATTCACTTCTCTTTCTACACTTTAGTCGAGCAGAATACGTTCGCTGGTCAATGAACGGGGAGGAGAACGCACAAGCTCGAACGCCCTGGTATCAGGCTCTGGCGATGATGCCTTCTCAGCCGGGCACTACGGGGGAGATGACGCAAGTGATGATGTGCATGCACGACTTGTACCATAAGTGATCCACAGAAATCACCCCAAATATTGTTAACTAATTGATGTTGTCTACACTTATGAGCGTTATATAGTTATATATGTATTTATATTTGTACAATTTATTTACACTCAAAAAAGTGAAAGTCGAATTTACAATTAAACTGAATTTAATCAGATTTCGAATATTAAATATTTATAAAATGGAACATTTATAATCGTAGATAAGACTATATATTAAGGCTTAGGTAGACCCAGAGAGTCTTATATCTGTCCTATCGAATCGGACACCAAAAGTTAGGAGAATAATAGCTTTATCATTTATTGATTATGAATACAAAAAAAAAATACTTATGTATACATTATAAACACTGGATACAGATGAAAACATATTTGAAGCTGTCGCAAGCTAAGCATAAGCTCGTCTCCTAATAGACATAACCACCATTGACGGCATATTTGGTGTCCAGGCCGCTGTAGCCAGAGCCCGAGTAGCCTGTCGAGGCTGGTAGATAGGTGCGTGAGGGCGTGGCATAGGTGTTATACTGCGGCACAGCTGCATAGCTGTTGTAGCCAGACCTGACCACCGGAGCAGCGTAGCTGGAGCTAATGTCAGAGTTATAGGTATAGCTTCGGCCGGAGCCAAGTCGAGAGCCCGAGTAGTAGGAGTTGCCCGTATACGAAGGATACGAGGAGTACGCCGAGTAGCCGCTGGCACCACTGAGCGGTGGCAAATAGCCACGCGAGAGAGGCAAATGAGAGACATCAGCGGCGCACAGTACCAGAGAAGCGATCAAAGCGATTGTCGAAATGGAATGCTATAGGGAAAGAAGCAGATAAGAAAGACGATGCTTCGGATAAGAGTTGAGATAAAAGGACTCAATCAATCAATGAGTCTATATCTTATCTAGTCACACTTTTCACAGGATATGTCGTAAGAACTTGCCATTTTGAGGATTCTAGGATTGTAGCTCTTCAGTTTCAGTTCAGTTTAACTGAGTTCAGTGCAGATTATACGAGTTCACTGGAATAATGTTGACGAATGACTGTGGCTCAGTGGGCATCGTGTGTGCATTTTATACTCTCGAAAGAAAAAACGACAAGTCCGAACTGTTATTAAATGAAATGTATCGTGCGGCCAGATTTTACAGCTAATTTGAACGCCTTTACTGCACTGCGAACATGTCGACGGACAATGCTCATTACTCAAGCCCAGCACTGAATAGCTGAATAACTGAATACCTTAACAACCGAAAGAGACAGCAACAACTGAACTGCTTAGATATGTTGGGCGACGCGCTTAGCTGTGTGTGGCGAATCCCACGATCCCACGACTCATCGACGACGAACATCCAATTTCGTATGAGACTCGTAAATGCATTTTGCTAGATTTTGTGGTTTTTCGATATACCCTTTCATCGGGTATATAGCACAAGGGGTGAAAAGCACTGATGGCGATCTCATTGAGTGTACTGCTTAACTATGAGAGACTCACAGAAAGATAGAGAGGGGAAGAAATAGGAAAGTGAGTGAGAGAAACAGAGTAAGAAGAGGGAGAAACAAATTGAGAGAGAGGGAAGGAAATATCGTGAATGCTGTTTAGGGTATTCCAATGTCGACTTGCCTTAGTTCATGTTCGTTCTTGTCATTTATTTTGTTTTTGTTTTTATGACCCTGCCACGCCTTCTGCGCACTCACTTCACCCCTTCTTTGGCTGGCTTTCGGGGCGTAACAGTGTCGCGCGCTCCTTTACTCAAATTATATAATTTATATATTTTTCAAATCAGCCTTGGATATTGTTTTGTGTTAAGTGGATGCTGGTATTGCTGTTGTTGTTATTTTATGACATTTCGCGGTCAGAGCGGCGCATTGGTCTTATATGAGTCGCCCGTAATACATCTTATTGTTATTAATTGGGGCCACAATAGTCTATAATCAAATTGTTGCATCTAAGGATCCCACGCCAGACATGTTACTGCATTCTAAAATGCTTCGTGATTGTTATTATTCATATTTATATCAGCAAATCAAATGACATTGAAAAGAATTTAGTTATTTGAATTCTTGGCCGTTAAGCGGATACATTGTCATTGAGGAGTTGCCACTAAGGCAAAAAGCTGATATATACGCAGATGGTGTGTACACACTAAATTTCGATAACCTATCTTGCGGTTTTGAGTTACTTTAAACCATTTGAAAATAAGCAATGGGACACTGTAAGATCACTAAAGTTGGCATAAAAAAAAGCAATATTCACACTGAAGACGCAGTGGCTGCAGAACTACGGAAGCAATGAGCGCATGCCGGAGCCGCCTGATGCAAAGACTGTTTATGTTGTTAGCTGGGAGGACTCATAACGTTGCAGCTGCTGGGCCGCATTATGGAGTTTCTGCTAGAGGAGGGGAATTTCAGATGTTAAAAAATTGCTACAGTTGTCAAAAGTTAATTAGGCGGGACTTGCATGTGTTAATTAATTATACTTAATTTGTATTATGATGCGATTACAATAGCAAAATACAGTAACACGCAAAAATTATAATTACAAAAAATTTAAATTCGAAGGTCGTAATGTATTTTCATACTTTGTTAAAGAGTATTTCAGCGGTTGCACCAGTTGGTCACACCAAATGTAACGGAACTTAACCGAATTTCAAAATATATATGACACATGTCTAAGACCATACAGAAAACGTGGCCAAACTACGTTTTAGTTGGCTAAGCTCAACTACAGCGCTCCTACTTGATACGGTGTACATCAGTGTGTAAATATATAGGTATATGTCATGGTCATATTATAATATATGGCATACTTTTGGGCTATGGCATATATTCATTATCTTTTATAAATGAAAATTTTAATGTGCTAATTTAATAAAATACTGTATAGAAGCTGTAAAACAAATAACCATATTATTATCCCATTGGTGTATCGAAATATGCTTATCGTATACTCATCACGCACGCGAGCATCTCTAAAAGCAGCAAGGTTCCTAGTTGGCTCAGCAGTCGTTGCTGTAACTTTTGTTGTTGTTCTTGCCGTTCTCGCCCGGCACACGTTGCGCTACGCTCTGTTGGGTGGCTGCTGTTATCACAGAGACCGACACTGACACACACAAACACGCTGCCAGTGGCCATAGAAAGAGAGCGAGAATAACAGAGGTGATAGTCACGTGTGTGTTGTCGATACACTTACACTTGCATACATACATGCACTCACGCACACATTGACCAGTGCGACGCTTAACAGTAACAGCAACTGAGCGCGTCAGCCAGTAACAGCGTCTGCAGTAGCAGCGGCACAATTAAGGAATATTGAGTCTTTTAACGGTGTAGCTGCAGCAGCAGCAGCAGCAACAGTGCCAAATGGCAGCAACAACAACGGCAAAGCAGCAGCAATATACACATACCTATATACATATATGATACCATATATACGTATATATATATATATATATATATATATATATATATGATTATATATGGCAATGGGCTGGTTATAAAATAGCTCTACTCTCGCATAAAATTTGTCATTCGGCGACAATTTCTAAGCACCCAAAGACGTTAAAGGCGTCCCGTGCCTGCCTGTCAGACCGACTTACACAGCCAATTCAATTCATTCAGTCGACTCGTAATCCTTGCCGGAACAGTTGAACTTTTTAAAGTGCGCGCGCTTAAGTCTTTTTTAAATAATAATAATTAAACTTAACAAATTAAAATGCCGTTAGCCAGTGAACAAGTGCAAAGCGTAGCCAGCCAGCAGCTGTCCAAGGCGGACACAATTAAGCTGCGTAACAAACACATTGGGTGCGTATTAAATTATGTATTTACAACAAAAGCAATATATTTAAGTAGTCGTTTAGCTGACATTTTTACGTCATATGCTGTGTTGCATTACGTTATGTTATGTTAAGACATACAGTGCTATGCTGCGCTCTGCTGTGCATATGCACTCATGTTATGCGTACATCAGTTGACCTTGCGTTAAGCAGTTTCGCTGTCAAGGTCAACTAACGGCATCCCCATGCAGCACACTCATCGACGCTCTGTGTTGGGCGAGGCGTGGGGAATCGCTGCAATTGTGTTTTGTTTGTGTCGCCCATGACAAAGGCAAACAGCAAGAAACGTATTTTCATTTTTGGCTGTTGCCAAAGACTCGCGCCGAAAGTAGCGGCATTTATTTTTGGCCTTTATCGATTCGCTGCTCAACCACAAGAGCCACCATACTGCCGTCCAAATGGCACAAATCCTCATATAAAAACGCTAATCCCACGTATTCTACTACAGGCAATATAGTCATATTCTCCCTATCAGTAGCTGTAGCTTGATGACGACGTTGTTTCTTTGGACCTAGGCCCCGGTCGTACGAACTCACAAAAAGTTTGTTCCCATCCAGCGGCCATATAGATATATATACATATATATAGAGCTTACTTTCTATCGATTCCTTTTTTAACGTTTCTCATTATTCTGATCTCTTTTTGCGTGCACCTGCAAATAATACCAACAAAATACCAAATGCAATGCAGCCAAGCCTGTCATCTGTTCTATCGCTCTGATCCATTGAAAATCGTACGCGGCCAGGGTCAATACATGTTCGATGAGGAGGGCGTACGCTATCTGGACTGTATCAACAATGTGGCGCATGGTAAGTGTTGATCCAACCATCCACTCATCCATAAAATCCCGATCTTAACAGTAACTATGATAATTTAGCTTAAGCTCTTCAGTTGATATGCTCGAATCTGCGTGTAGTAACAATGAGTTTTGTGTCTCCGGGACCGGGACCGGGGCCCGATGAGCTGGGCTCGCTGGTGCGACAGGCCCGGGTTCAAAAGCAAATAATCGTCAGTGACAATGTCTATATGGTGTGTGTGTGTGTGTGCTGATATGTCTCAAATGCGTCTCAATGTACTGTGATAAAAAGTTTGATACTCCTGATGACGATGACATTGATGCTGCAGATGCAGATGATGATGATGATGATTTTGGTGGCGGCGCCAATTGTGGCTGACAGCAAGTTCAAGGTTACGCCCCCCACACAGGCGGTCGAGCTGGCTGTCCAGACATCGACGGCATGCTCAGGCCCCGATTGAGCAGCTTTGTGTGCTGGTGATTTGATTCGAGTGGCTGGCGCAAAAAAAAACTGAGTCAGCCTTATCACACACGTCGCTTGGGGCTGGGCTGGGCTGGGCCGGGGCCGGCCTATGTGTACTACGTACGCTTTATTCTTTCTATTTTAGATGCTGCCCGTTTATTTCGGGCCCCGACACACGGCGAACACGAGCAGCTGTTGTTTGGGTGATTAGGTTACTCTGCTGGTGGCACATAGGCATAGCAATAATAAAATTAATAACAATAACAATAACAATAATGCTTACAATAACATAAGCAATTCAATTAAGACTGACATGTGTGCAATTTATCAATTTGACAATTTGCGTATTGCAACGGTCCGTTCCACTGTTCCACTTTCCAGTGCGAATGCGTTGCTGTTATCCCTTTCTGCTTTCGTAACGGAATTTTCCATTCAAAAATTTGTTTGCATTAGCAGCGATCAGCTGTTACAGTTACGTAAGCCAGCCCAGACCCTAGCTAGGTCGGGCCTTCTGCTACTTGTGACGTAAGCACGCCCTCTGACGACTACTTTGTGTAACATTTTGCTTTTGGCAGTTGTGCGCAGTTTTCGTTTTCATTAATGCAATTGTCAATTCATAAAGACGCCATAAAATAAAACAAGCTAAAAAAATCAAATCGCAAAAACAATTACTTAGTGCAAAAATTATAATATATGTATCTGATAAGCTGCTGAATTGAGCGCAACCAACTATGTAAATGCATACATATGTATGCATGTATATACATAAATTAACTTAGTCGTTGTGCCTAGCATTGCCCGATAAGGCCTATTGGGCAGAGATCATTCGTTATTAATAGCCATAGACTATTTTGGGTCTGTTTGTATTTTATATTTAAATGAATATTAATATTAAAATTGGTTTCTTGTTATCATCCAGGCACAACTTGGTTATTTATAGTTCTGGCAACAAATTATTTAG